CGTAAGTAATTCGTTATGCTGAAAAAAATGGCAAGAAGGCCGGGGAGAGTTCCCGGAGCTGAGGCCAATGGCGCTTGGCGGCAACGAAATTGGCATGTTGCACTAAGGTAGAAAGAATTCGGCCCTCCCAAAGAAGATCTTGTAGATCTTGCTGTAAACTCTTTCCGAATGCTGCATCAACATTCATTGGCAGTGCCATGACGTGCTTGGAACGCCGAGGATGACGATGCCGATGATGAGAAAGAAGAAATGAATTGCTTCTGACGAGACTGCAGATGCCAGTGATGAACATTAGGAAAAGACTATTAATCACTGATTGTGACTGGTAGCTAGATGCCGTTTTATTTCAAGCATATTTTACGATAGTACGTCTATACGGTACTAAAAAACTACTATATACGGTGTAATTAACAGATTGTTAACAGGAATAGCCCTATAGGTTATCTATGTTCTGTACTTTAGGGAGATTCCATTGTTGTTAAAATTGGTATTCTAAAGTGAAATAAATTATCAACCCTTAATGATAGTTTATACAAATCCTTGGTGGATAAATAAGATTCCAAATTCCTCATAGAATGATGCGCCTTTTTTCGCCGCACCAATTTTTTTCTTATGCGCATTTTCAATGGGGCGCGCATTAGATTCGCATAAATACGGTATCTTTTAAGTGCAATATTAAATTTCTGTTCTAAATCATAAAAAGCTTTGTTACAAATACTGTGCAAAACACAAAGAAAATCCACGGAAAATTTTCGTATACAAAAGAACCAGATGATACCAAAGCCTACTGCACAGCAAGAAGGCCTAACTATGCTTATATTTAGTTATGATAATAGCATTTCATTCTTGAATATTTATATTATATTACTTGTATGCATTAGTAAATTTTGTTACCAAAAGTAGCAAATTCTGGCTGTAATTGTTATCTGAATTTGGTCAGTATGGAAATATTTTGCGTTTAAATTACTACATTATGAATATTGTACTGACCGGAATTTTCCATCTATGGAACGGGTATAAAAAGTTAGCTTTTTGTATTTAGAGAAACCGCAAGATAATAAATCTGCTGCTATAAAAATCTCTATCTTATTCTGAAAAACTTAATAACAAAAATCCATCTAACTAAACCAGCGATTTAACAAAAAGTTCTAATTAGATATGCACTTTCTATTGTAAATTTCTATAAGATCCGTTAAGACTTGAAGCCCCCTTTTTCGGCCATCCTGTGTAGTAAATACGTTACGTTCTGAAAAGAAGCTTGAAAGAACCCCCTTCTTTCAGCTTTCTATTATACTAGAATTTTTAAATATTTTTTTAACTCGCTTCTGTCCTCGAGTAAGGAAGATTCCATTGCCTACTATATTGATTTATAATGTATTTTTCCCCTCCTTTTTTCTCTGTAACTGGAAGCATGCCCGACGCTCAATTCGGAGATCTGGAATTCGAATCCCGGCAAGGGCATTACATTCTCTCGTTTCCTGACATCGAAAAATTCTTAAAAAAAAAAAAAAAAAAAAAAAAAAAACCTCTGCAAGTGGGGTCCGAACTAAAAAATGGCCGACGATAATTCGTGACCTGTAGGATTTGGCGACTGGGTCCTCTCATCACCATTCGCCCTTTTAAAGGCGGGTTATATGTAAGGTATTTTCTCCCTCCTTTCCGCGCGTTTTCATGGTATAACTGGATAGCACATCCAGTTAGCAATCGGGAGGCCTGGTGTTCGAATACTGGCCAAGAAACTGCGGATTTCTTCAGTTTCCTTCCTGACATCGAAGAATTCTGAAAAGATTCTACCGATTGTACTGGATTTTTTTATTAATTTTTGCTGCCAAACACGCTAATGTTATTTGCATCCTTTCTAAAAAAATCAGACTCACGTTGACTATGTACTTTATATAGTCTGAATCTATGCTTTGTATAGTCTGAATTCCTCGTGTATATAATGCACATGAGGAAAAACTGTAAAAAACTCGTTCCGATATTTAGTTTATGAATAAAAAAAAAGGGGGAGAACTATTGCTGTTGCAATGTTGTATTAAAATACCTTTTGTATGTGATTCTGCATTAGCAGAAAATACTTACTGGAATCGCAATAAAAATAGATTTACTTAAACTGCATATACCAGACACTGTATAATGCCTATGTTCATTTTTATTTCTTTCAGGGTAGCGCTAGCTCACCAGTTTTTCTGCTAGGAGAATTGGGTAAACTAGACTCTAACCTGTCATATTCAGTTTTCTTATTTCAGCATTCTCTTCGTCGGCAAGACATTTTTTTTATTTTTCTCTAGTATCCATTAAATTTTATTCTAGATTGCAATTGTTGAGGTCACTACACTTCATTCCGCACGCCTTCATCAACATAATAATAATAATAATAATAATAATAATACCACCAAAAATAATAAATGTACCCTAACTGCCAGAAAGTAAAATAAATAACATTGAACAGGAACTGCATTCCGTAATTCGACGCCTAACTCTTTTTCTGCAAAGAATTCCAACTCGCATTTCTTTACTCGCCGAAAACGAAGAGGAGTATAAAAAGGAGAGCCAAAAAAGGGTAAAAAAAATAGTAAAAGAAAGGGAGGAGGGCAGAAAAATGAAGCGAAGAAGAAGAAGGCAAGGACGAAGGCAAAGAGTTGAAACCTTTGCACATCCAAGCGTGGCATCATCGTAGGTCTGCTATCACCAAACCGTGGGAAAGTGTGAACGCCCACAGACCCTTCCTCTTCCCCGCACGACCTCCCTTGCCAGATTCAAATCCAGAGCTTTTACCGACCCGATATACTATTTTAGAAATAACTCAAATATTACTCAGCTGTTGAAAGTGGTTATGCTACCTTTATACTCTGTGCTGTTATTAGTCGATTATACACGTGAAATCGACTTTTAATTTGCTTACTTTCTTTCCTTTTATAGACCCACTGCAAACATCTAAGAAATTTTTAAACTCTTTTGACCTAAGCCCATAATCATGACTTTACATAATAAAATAGTATTTAACTTTAGTATAGTAACTTTGCATAATGAAGAGATTTTGATGTCATAGAAATAACTGGTGTGTAATGGGCTTGTTTTGATGTTACTGTCATACAACAACAACAACATCCGACATACATATAATATACTTATATATAAACATTATGTAAATATTTTTCTATAAATATTTAAAAGTCAATGTTATAAATCGTTCTGCATATCACACGTATTCATCAAAATTTACTTAACAATTTATGAAAAATATATGACAGGGAAGTTTTAGCTGATCTATAGATATCCGAATTTGCATTAATCCGGGTATTTTGTTGTTTCCAGACCAAGTAAAATAAATCCAAATTAAAGTTGTAAAATGAAGTAAAATTAAGCCAAGAAAAGGATTCAAAGTTATTAAATTTTATTAGAAAAGTGCAGTATTTCACCAAAGGATGGTATATTTGACACTAAGTTATCATTAAGCTCGAAATCAGACGCGCGCGCGTGTTTGAGGAAAGCGGATATTTTAAATTTTTGCTGTTTGGGAGAAATCTTCATAGAATATTGGGATAATCGATAAATATACAAATATAAGAATTTTCTCTAATAAATACATAACATAAAAACATAATATCCTACAATACATGTTTATTAAATGAGTCTTAAATTAACTGCTATAAAAATTTTTTACATGTGGGCTGCACAGTTTTCAGTATGTACTTTAAAAACACCAAAGGAGAAACAATTATCAGCTTTACATAGGCCTGGTATTCATTGCTTATTCCGATAACTAATTACTCACACACAAGTAAATCTTTACTTAGATATTATAATAATTGTTCCTGTTAAAAAAAAAAAAAAAAAAAAAAGACTAATGACCAATAGCGACATTATGCCAATTACCCAAATTTTCTACACATCCAGGTGGACCATTCAGCCCGACTATTTGGCGGTTAAACTATATTATCTTTTTACACTATTTAAATCCCTCACGATTCTACAACAATTGTGTTCAATTCGTTTCAGAAACTGATTGTTTTAATAAATGTAAATTTCAATTAAAATATATAATTATTAATATTAAAATATATACAAATTTTCTGTATTTAAACAAGTCAACTAGTATTCGTATCATTATTTCGTTGCTTGCATACGTCCGTTCCGCAAAATGCTAATGTTTTTCAAAACAGTCGACAGAGAAATATCTCCGTAATTTGTTAATGTAAATCCCAGTCCGCCAAAGTTTCCCGAATTTCTACTACTGAGCCAGCAAATTTTGCCTTCTCCTCTAGAAATATAATTATTGCCTTAATCACTATTTAACTCAGCCTCGTTTAACATCTTCTGGTACTGAGTTAAAGCAATGAAAAATTAAAAACACCTAGACAAATTCATAAAATGCTACATTTTCCTTGGCCTAGAAAGAAAAACAAGTTCTCCGGATAATAAAAATTCCGGATATCTGGAGTCCGAATGTTTGGAGTTCTACTCTATTGGAATTCGTAAATTAATATTTTAGAAGTAAAACAAAATTCCCTCTGGCTTTAACACTCCATGCTATAAGTTAGCTTAGCCTTTTGTTTACTTATTAATAAAGGGGCAAATGCAATATGCCCGAAAGGTAAAAAAAAATTTGAACCTGACCGAGTCCCCTCAAGCCTTTTTTTGCCTTATTACGAAACGAGTAAACAACTACCCTCCCCGTCCACGCGTTCCATCAACCCTGCGACCACCACGCGCACGTATCCGATGACGTCACCGCGAACCATTCCACCGCAAAGTCCAGCTGCGCAAGCTGGAAGGGTACCGTCGGTCCTGACAGACCGACCGTGTGGGAACCACGAGACAGGTGCTGACCGTGGGAAAGGCGGCTTGAATTCCGTTCCGCCAAGCGAACACGTGGTCCCTTTCTTTTCTTTTCTACTTTTTTGTTCTCTCGTTATTTTTTTGTTGTTGTTTTTCCCCTCTTGTCCCCTCGGTTCTCTTTCCCCTTTCTGCTTGCCACGCGATGTGAGTCGCCAAATCCTATCCACTTTTTTCTTGTCTATTTCTTTTATATACATTTAGATATTAAGAGTGAGGAGTTGGTCTTTTTCCCACGACTCCGGGAAAATGGCAGATGCTGCAGCGGCATCTTGGGAGTACGTTTCTGGAATGGTAATGGGGATTGGTGAGGACTTTTTTTTTTCTTTTTCTTTTTGAGCAACCCCTCTCCAGAGAGATAACGCCTACATTTGCCGTTCATTCCAAGCTTTTCACGAAAAATCTGGTTCAGGAGCCGATGACCGCAGTTGCTAAAGGGGTAGGGAAAACCGCAGTGGCGCGGCATACGCAATTATGCGTTGATACAACTTTTCAGTATCGGAATTTATTAGCATTCATAGCATTTAGACTCTAAATCAGCGTTGGTTTCTCGAACTTTGGAGATTGTTTTTTGTAGGCAGAGAAAAATTTTGGAAGTATATTTTTCTTGTCATATAACTATACATAGTTATTTCCCTATAACTATTAATTAATTGTTAATAACTCTATAAATACAATTTCTATTTTTTTTTTATGACAGTGCCTAAAGTCTTCTTTTCTAAACTGGTTATTTCCACTTTTTCAAAAAAAGTAAAATGTCTGTAATAAACCATTCTGGTGTGCATCATTTCGAACTATTTCCCCGTCATATGAATTTTACTTAAGCACATATTTATATAACGCCAAAAGTTAAAGTGAAATTTTTAATCCAATAATAACGAAATCGAATCTTTTATAAACCAATCCTAATATTTAATAAATAACAATAATAAATAAATACTTTTTATTGAAATATAATAAAGAAACGCTAGTGTTCTTAATCTAACCATCAGTAGCATAATCTTGCTCTTCTCATGCTTGCTTTTGTCCAGTTAACTTGTAATCAGCAATCTTCCATTATCTCTAGCTTTTGTAAAAATCTATTCAGCTTTGATATTATTATCACACTCATCAGCGGTCGAGTGGTAAGACCACTGAATACTGGTAGTTCGATCTTAGTTTAAATACCGCCGAATGAGCCGACTATATGAAAGATTTCGTGGTTTTTCCTTAAAAAGCCCTCCACAAAGGCATCCATTGTCTTAGATAGCCCTCGAATGCTTTGCCACAATCTAAATACCCTAATTTACCGAGCATTATCATTTTTAACATCAAATCCAAAATTTTCTTCACATATAAATAACGATGTAGTAGTTAATAAGTTCCAAGAAGAGTTTTGGTTTGAAAAATTATCTTTATTTTTGGGCACAGATATTTAGGATGTTGAACACATTTAATAAAGTTAAAGCAGTTCGTAGCAGTATTAAAAATATATGAGGTAGTTATAAAAAGTAAAGAGTGGGAAACAGAAAGTAATTAGGTTAAGTTATTTGAATATGGTAAAGCTTAAGAAAGTTATCTGCCTAATGGGAGTGACGTCTTAGCGGAGGACTGTCTAAAGAAAACTGGTTCACGTTACGCATGGGGAAAAACCATGAAAAACAAACATGCAGCTATCACTTTCGCATTAGTTCAAACTACCAATATTTCACGGCCTTAAGCACTTCGCATCTGATTAGGGTAACAGAAATTGGACTTCTCTTTTAAAATTTTGGAACCTAAAAGTCTATCCCTTAATCAAGCAATACGGTTTGTGCAATAGATTTTAAACGGCAAAATTTTTACTTTAAAGAATGTGACTTTTTTGACTGAGTTGCTGTTGTATTGTGACTTATCTCACTTGTTTGACAGTCACATCAGAACAAGCCCATAGTAGCAAGGAGAATAAGATTGCGTCTGTCGTTGGCTTGAGCACCATACAGGTGACAGTGACAGTACGACTTCCTTCAGTTCCGCCCCAATTTTGATGAAAAGCACCCTGGGAGGACGGATCGGAATGTCTCCCATCCCTCTTTCCCTACTGCCAGCCTCTCGGGATGACTTTCGGTTCGTCATATATTTAGGGTGCCCTTATGCTGCAAAGACACTATACATTTACAAACATCCATGCCTTCTTCGGGATTCGAACCCGAGCCCTTCGGTAGTGCAGTACGTTTAGCCAGCCGCTGTATTGACTCGGCGGCTTTTGACTGAGTGACAGATATTGATAAGGTTTGTCAAAAGTTTGGTACGAATGGTTTAGTAATATTATATAATAAATGACTTAATTTACTATGTTGTTTGTTAAAAGCTTGGCACGAATAGTTTGGTATGAACACTATGGGATAAATGACTTAATATTCTTTTTAATTGCTATCAAATATGATGCTATAAAATGCTATGAATTCATGAATGTCGTATGATTCTTGTATAAAGAAGCATACTAGTTACTTGCTTATAAACAAGAATCATATGACACTCATCAGTGTTGGAAGGACGCACTTCAAGAAGAGTTAAGTATAAATAATGCATTGCTACTGTTGGGCATAGAAGTGGAAATAACTAAATTTAAAATGTAAATAAATAAATAAAAATAAAAATAAAAAAAGGATTTTATGCCCAGTGCAAATAAAATTTAAAAAGTGATCTTATGCAGAAATAAAGTAACACAGCAATCTTAATTACTTTAAAATACCCAGTAGTAATGCTGATTTCTCTGTAACTGTTTTGTGTTACTTTTCATTAGTTAATTATCAGATGATGGAAAGAATCTCTCAGGTACATTGTAATTGAAATCACTTCGATTTTGGATCCCAGACTTGCACAGAACCAAATTTGTATTTCAATCTAATCGAATCGAATCGAAAATGTTAAGATTTTTGAAAGATATAAAATAGAAGTAGTAAAGGTGTGTTTAACAAGTACAGGAACAGGCAGAAAATAGGCAGCGTCTCTGTAGTATTACAGGTGATTCAGGTATTGCTGAATCTAATTAACTCTTAAGCTTCCACCCCAATTTTGAAAAAGAACATCCCAGGCGCGGTCCGAAGATCTTCTACTCGTGTTCCATACCACCAAACTCTCGAGAGGACCTTCGGCTCGGCGTACATTTTGAGTGTCTCCTTGACGCACAGACACTATACATTTGCAAACATCCATGCCTTCTCCGCGATTCGATTTCTTTTTACGGTGTGCGGTAAAAAGGGAAACGGAAAGAAGTCTCCGGAAAATACCTAAAGTTTTCTGAAACAGACGTATTACACAGTTCTTTTAATTCTGGATTCTTTAGCAAAATCAATTTTTCTTTTCACGTTCTATAGACGTTTTGCAAGTAACATACTTACAGAAAATCGAGATTAACTTAGGCTAACTACTGCAATTTGTATATAGGATTTACAGACGCCGTTTCCGTGAATCATTACTTAATAATATTGGGGACATGTTTTTAGTTGTGGATAATAAAGATTTGCAAAGGAAAATAAGTACTGCATACAGAAAACGGTATTTGACATAGTAACATGACCTACTCTGGTAATATAGGTCCGAAACCGCTCATAGGTTCACAATCCAAAACCTCTGGATATGCATCATTCCTTTTCTGATTTTTTGCTGAAATGTGTTTATTCATTATAGCATATTTTTTAAAAAGTATTAAATTTTCTCTTGGCTTTATGAGATGGAACACTTAAGTGATTTCACAATAAAAAACATGTATCATGGTGAAGGAACAACAACTGATAATCAGTTCTTGGCTCAACTGATAATCAGTTCTTGACTTATAGACAAGTCATTTCCTCCCTCCTTTCTGCATGCCTTCGTGGTGCAACGGCAGCACACTCGGCGCGTATTCCAGATGCCTAGGTTCGAGTCCCGGCAAGGGCATTGCTCATCTTTCACTTCTCCAACAAAAAGAAATCATAATGGCTCTACAAGCCTTACTGGATAATTAAGACAATTGGCGGTGAGATAGCATCACTGTTAAAATGTTTTAAAAAGGACTTGTTGATTTCACTGAACCTCAATGTTATCAAGTACAACGGCAATTTGCCAAGAATAAAATCAGGCTTCCATAAAAATAGTTGCGAGAACATCTTACAAAACAATAATAATAATAAATTAAAAGAAAAAAAATCTGAAAGGTTTCAGATTTTAAATTACGTCCAAAGAGGCGTTTTTTTAACGTTTTGTGTGTTACCGCTACCTTTATGTATTTATTATCATGCTCTTTGCACTTAAACCGTAAAATTCAGTTCAACAGCAATGTCACAAAATAATCTTAAAATAAGTATATCTTTAGAGTTTCCCATACACGGTTCCGCGCGCTGGAGATAAAAAGGTTTCCCCCCCTTCCGCAGAGTGTTGCCATTCCTCCCTTTTAAATCATTGCGTTTGTTAATCAAAAATTCGTTAAAGTTTTAAAAAATATGAAACCAATAGGAAAACAAATTCCAAATTTCAAATTTGCTCTTCCAGATGCCCATATTCGCAGTAGGATTACGTCATTCAAAATTTGATGGCTCAAGGTAGCGTTGTTTTATCTCGATGCAAGAAACATATATACATTTTTGCAGATTCTTCATTATTTAATTTCTTCAAATATAATACAAGGCGATAGTATTTGGTGGCAACAGTTTGAAATGTGAAACGGACATTCAGAGTGATTCAAAGCAAAATCGCAAAACGAAAACAATAGTCCTTCAGGGACAAAGCCCCTTTAGACTATAATAATAGTAAAAAATTTAAACGTTGGTAACAAACGTCTTACAGCTTTGATTCATTTACTGTGGTACCTGTAACCCAGTGCGAAGGTAACTTGACAAGTGAGTAGTTTTCAAAGAAAGATTTAGTTTTTTTTAACTTTAAAACTAAAGGGAAAGCTAAAAGGTAGTTTTTTGCCAAAATTTCTCAAGATTGTTAATTATGCAATTAGATGAGTGATGACTTATTCAGCAGCGCATCTATGTAATATAGCTTCTGCGTTCATAATATTGTTAATAAGTACTACAAACCGATAAATTTGCAGCCAGATATTTTAGCATTTCGTTTTGGATGAAAAAATGATAAGAAAACTACGTCAGTCTATGTAAATACACTTCTACACAGGAAAATTTCGAGGATTCGTGGAAAATTTCCAGGATTATTTTTAAACAAACATAAAAAATTAAGCTCCGACTTATTTTTAATTTTTGAAAAAAAAAAAAAAAAAAAAAAAAACTGAAGAAAATGTAAAACTTTTTTTTCTTTTAATGAATTAGAATAAAATTATGCTTCTTGTTCCCTCCCATTAAA